GCGTTCATTTACCAAAGTCGACTGCATGCTTTTATTGATAATTCCTGCCATTTGCATAGCGTTGTTCATCCCAGGGGCTGCAAGAACACTCCACATGAGGGAGGAGACCTACTCCACCCCACTGCTCAGCAGGAGATTAATTCAACTGAGCTTTTGGGGGGGTCAGACTGTTTGAGCCCAGGGAGCAATTTACCCAGAATTATGCCCTGACATACGAGCAGCTGGGAGATACAGTATGAACCGCTCCACTCCGCCTGGGGTGGGAAATGATCAGGACGCACTACAAACCAGCATCACATTGTTAGTGCCACGAAGTAAACATCATTTCCCGAGACACCACAGCAAGTAGACATTATCACCTGCAGATTTGCAATGAAAAAACACCACTGTCCCAGAAAACTGCAAGAAACACCAATATTGCAAATCAAAAAGGGCCCTCATTATGCTAGCATTATAATTTCCTTGCACCTATATAGCGCTTTTCTGGACACTCCACACAAAGCTTTTTACAGGTAATGGGGATCCCCTCCACCACCACCAGTGTGCTGCCCCACCTGGATGATGCGCCAGCAGCCATAGTGCGCCAGAACGTTCACCACACACCAGCTCTCAGTGGGGAGGAGATGAAGCCAGTTTACAGATGAATCAGTACTTCGGTTTTACATCTCATCTGAAGGACGGCGCCTTTTTACAGTATAGTATCCCCGTTACTATGCTAGTATGACAACTGTTAGGTAAAAGAAAAAGATTTGCAGCTCACCACTGTATGAACCTGTTGCTTGTAACAGACAGGAGCTTGTCACATTCCTCATAATGGAATCCACCAGCACTGTCCGGATATTTGACTCCTCCGGGAAGAGCATTCACCCCTTGCAATCAGAGAAAAAGACAAAGGGTTGTATCACAGCGTGCGAGCGAAAAGGGAGTTTTCTTCGTTGCAAAGGCTTTCAACTAAAAAACAAACCCGCCCTCTCCAGTCCAGCAATACAGTCCAGTGAGTGACTGGTGGCAACACTCATATTTTTATCTTCCTGTGTAAATTCCAAGAGAAAGCGGGGCGCCGGACGCTGCATGCTTGTATCAGGCTCGATATATCTAGAGACGCCCAGGAAAACCAGGGTGCTGAAAAGACTTGCTAGCACACATCTCGCAGTGTTGGGGCTTACCGTCCTGCTGGATTCACCGCGGATAATGGGATTCGAAAGAATTGTACTAATCGAGTTTCCACTGCGCGACACTTAAGATTACAGTTAGGTCATTATAAGCATATAGAATCCGAAACTAACTCCATGATTAAGATGTAAATCACTGTAAAGCGAAATTAAAGCCACCTTAAAATCAAAGCATTTATGTTGTGTAGGAAATGACCGCAACTTTACAAATAACGAATTCATAATCCATGCCTCTGCTCCTCTTCAAAAAGCTAAGTTTGCAGAACACTTTAGAATAAACCCTACCTCGACTACTTCAAGATCTACTGGAGGGCACCAATCAAGGTGTGATACTTGGGTTTTCCAGACCCGCGGGGCGGCTTGGTACCTTAATTGATCTACTTGCTAGTACAGTGTCAAATAGGCGCTCTACCGAAGGCATGGCTAACCCGCTGCATGGTGGGCAGTCACGACCTCGTCTTCCGGGGATCGTACTATCTTACCCAACAAAGTACAGTCCCCCGTCCCCCGTGCGTGATCCTTTAAGGGCCTTTACCTGGATCAACCGTTATATCTCGGAATTTCTGGAGGGTTTCTCTCTCGAAACCACATATTTCTATGTAGCTCCGCTCCAGTGCCGCCGCGGCCGCCATCTTGACCCCCGGTGCACCCTGGGAAAGGCTAAGTGGGCGGTCCCACAACAGACCCGCCACGCGCTCTTTCAAACTCTTAAAGGCGCAGTACCGCCTGCCCGTGCCAAGGGCATGATCAATAATCAATGGCTTAAACGTACACCCAGTGCAGCATAATCACTGAAAATGCTCTGCAATTAACAAAACAATGCACAGGGTTAAACAGCATGAGCTGTCATAGGAACAGAGTAAATTTCGATACAAGGAGGTTGTTTGACGTCGTTCGACTCGTTTTTACAGCGCAGAACGTTTCTCCATGGTAATTGATTTTTTTTAAAAGCACTGATAATCTCCGATTTTTCTTTTAGAAACTAAATCGTTGTAAACGTCTCTGCCGAGGGGACGGCAATCTTTTTTTTCTAAAGAGAAATTCAAATGTAAAAAAAAAACCACTCGCTTACACAATGTATTACATAAGCTCGCTCAAATCAAGTAAGGGTGCCCCTTGCTGAGTGTGCTTTATACTGCTATAAACGCACTGACACAGGAGGGGCATTTGCTGAGATTTGTTGTACAAAGCAAATATCAAAATGATTTAATACCGCTGAACAAGGTCCCAGAATTAGACCTATACTTACGCACAACTTAGGCTAACGAGCACTAAGCCGCCCACGGTATTACTATTATACTTGAATGCTTTTTTTCGGCAACGCGACTTAAATATTTGCGCCCCTTTCTCATGTAGCTGAGCGCTCGACCCCTCTGTCGCGGGGCTGCAGAAAGTGGACACGACGCCCAGCGGAACACCCAGCCCCGGCGCACGTGGGACTCGAACCCGCACCCCGGCACTGCGGACAGACACTTCACTGTCCCCCGCTGCGGAAAGCTGTCTTCGGCTTCTCCCACAGAAGTACAAAACACACGAGTCACATAAAATCACATTGAAATCACGGCAACAGTAAGTGATACATAAGTAACTGGATAATTAGAGGTGGGGCTACATTGACAGACCGCCAATGAGTAGTTTTAATGCAGAGGGAACAAAGGACGTCTTATAAATGTTTTTATTTGAATTGTGGTCCCTATGCCGTCTCCCTGATGGGAACATTATGAACTGAGAATGGAGCAGGTGTGTGGAGGCAGCTGTGATGTTCCTCGCCATTCTGAGAACTGTATCACCATATAAATCACAGAGTTGGGGCTGCTGTTTCCCAATTATGTTTCCTGCCATTTTCACAATCCCGGGCAGTTTGGTTTTGCTTTCCGACCCCAGATGTAAATACCATAAGGTCACGTTAAATGCCGGTAGCGTCAACACCGTTCTGGCGGATCTGATGCAGCGCCGATCAAGTCGCGTCGCTGCCTAATCAAAGACCGAATTCACCCCTGGCGCAAAGCTGTTAACGTTGTGCAACAGCACCTTCCTCTTAATGGGGGGCAAATCCGAGAGGCAGGACCCGATCGAGCGCAAGGCGAACCGACAGGGCTGCAGTCCGACGGTTGCGAAAACGGACGCGTTTCCTGACCGTTTCTCAACTCCAGGCGATGTGGAAAAAAACAACGACTATGACCCCAAGCACAGATCTCCTGCTCAACCTTAAACACCAAAACAAAAAAGTCCATCGTTAAAACACCAGCAACAGGGGATACTATATCAGCGTTGATTAAAAAAAAAAAATCAGCACATTCGACTATATAAAACGAATGTAACGCCAGGAGAAATGAATGTAGTGGGGGGATCCAGCAGGTGGCGCAGTCTACTCGGGACCAGAATATTCCAACCAATGTTACCGTATGGTGACTGTGTACACTATGCTGTAGGGGGTATAAAATAAGATAAGATCATCATCTTGCTGGGTATCGCCCACTGGCTGGGATTATAAACCCAGGAATGCAAAGATCCCAGGGCACTTTTCGACAGAAACTCCGGATCTCAACGATCGCAACGATCGCAACTAACTGGTCGGTCTTCAGGCGGGGACAGCACTTCAGTACTGGATGAAGTGGCTCCTCTCCTGTAGGTAAAGTGCTTTTGAGAGCCTTTGATATGAAAGCAAAAGGCAAAAGGCACTGGAGCGAAGGAAATAGATTGTTACTTTGCCAGCATGACCAGAGAAGCTCCTGTCACCCAGAGTTTATAATCTGGCACAGAACAAGCACGAGCCCTGTGTCAGAAGAGCAGACAGCGCAAACTGGATTCAGTTGTAACCTGCAGCATTCAGATCCTTTTTTTAAGATCAGTATGGAAAATTGCATCTTTTGAGGTTTTCGTTGATTGCCCTGCGCATAATAACAGTTTTGTTGTGCATTTCATTCTACAAGCTCTTAAAGCATGTAACGCAACGGGGGCTCAGGCGGGCGCCCTTGCCGCATCTGGTCGGCCCCTGCACCGTCCGGGGCTCGCATATTGTGGCTTGTGCGCACGTGTGCTTTCTTATTTGTTGTGATGCAAAAAAAAAAAAACCGTTTAAGTCTCGGTCATTTTATTTTCTTGATTACCTTCTTTGTTTTTCAGGAAGATGCATTATGTCTCTGTGTCCAGCCAATGTGTTAGAAATGTACTCCCCTCCACACAACCTTTGCTCAGCTGTGCTTGACAGTCTAGATACTTTACTCTACACCATATTTCTGGGGCACCGTCCTAAAACACAACGGGGACTCCTCTTTGACTCTTTGCTTCCTACATAACCGTGAAGGTAATTCATAAACAACTAGAGACGAGCTTGCATACTCTGTTGCTTTTGGTCAACTTCTCAAAAACTAATGCCCAGGGATCTGCTATTATACTGTATAATACTACATAGGAGTGCCCTGCAGTACCACTAGTAACAAAATATAAAAATACATTACATATTCTTTAACCAAGGCACTGATATCCTTAGACGTTTATTGGCACAGAAAAATCTTTACCGAACGAAATATATATTTTCTATTTTTGCTTGGGGAAAAAAAAAAAACCTAGCATAATATACAAATGCATGAATCTACGCAAACGTAGACATTAATATCTTATATACTCCTCGGGTTTTAACATTTTAATCATTAGGGATTAATACATGAAAATGCACAGAACCGCTCAAGTATGCAAATCACAGAAACAACAGGTTGAGGAAACACTTTTTTTCCAGATATATATGGCATTTCTGTTAAAACCGTTGGGGTTTGCACCACACGCTTGTGCAACGGCGCCCTGAACTTCTGCTCTCGCAACGTGGAGTGGGGATATATATAGATGGGCGCGAGGGCGCGAGGGCATCGGGTTGAGTCTGTGGGGTCTGTCACCATGACCTCTGTTCTCGCGAGCATCCTCTTTGTCGCCTGGCTCCGTGCGCTTCACTGCTACCCTGTAGAGGTAAGGAGAAACATGTTCGTCTGTCTGCAGTTACGCGGTGACTGGCATGGGTGTATCCTGCCTTGTGCCCCTTGCTTGCCGGGATAGGCTCCGGCGTATCCAGCGATCCAGGGTTAAAGCTGTTTTAAAACGAATGGAGGGCTGGGAGTACTACAGTATGTCTCGAACTCTGTGTAATCAGAATCAAGACAAACTAGTTGTTTCTTCTGGAGAGCTCAGCGATCGATTTAAACGATTTTCTTATTTTCTGTCACAGTGATCAAGGTTGAACGTCTCTTTTTAAAAAAAAATACGTTAGTCATCGTTCTTTAATAATGTAAATTAAATAAATTAATTGATTTCTGATTAATGCAATAAACGTAATCTAAAGACTTAAACATCTGACTGGTTGACACTTTTAACTGAGGTCCTGCCCGTTAAGTCAAGATATGAGAGGCACAGAGTGTTATACGCAAGGAATCCAGCAGTGTTTTGTCAGTTTTAATATAAATGTGAAGCCGTTCTTTTCTTCACCTGCAGCTTTCATTGGACCTGAAGATCAATAATGAAGAAAGCGGCTACACAGGTATAGTTCTGTATGAAACACATAGCAAGGCTGAAGATAGACCTACTGGGACAGGATATTTAAACAGTAAACATCCCGCTGAGAATAGCACAATATGTTTTGATCCATTACGCATCCACATCAATCACACGCCTTTGAAGCTAAATATGACTTCGTTTTTCTACGACACTGAGAATATACCACCCTTTGCTATATGAAGAGAAAATATGACGATCGTTATTATATTTTTTATCGAAACAGCGCCATGAACCGTCAGTAGGTGGCAGTGTAAGATAAGTTTCACGTCTTGTAACTTATAACAACATCCTCTGATGTAAATTCTACGCTTACAATTTACAGCCTAGTATTTTCTCTTTTACATAGCTGCCACACACTGTGTAGAAGACAACACATAACACATCTAACATGTCAACATAACACCTCAGTCTTTTTTTATGGGTAGCCTCTTCTAGTTCAGCGTTTCCCATTTTGTATTCGTAATTTTTGTTTTTACTAGCTGCATGAAATATTTTTTTACCTTCATTGCTGAAATTATTATTTTTTTAACTGCTGCTTCCACGGTGTTTGCCTGTCATTCTATCTAGGGATCACCTGACTATAGTTGACTAACTATTCCGACGTCTAGATCACCAGTACAAATTAGCGCCGTCTTCTTCGGGAAAAGACGATCCCACAAACACAGTGAAAGCGAGCTGCGCATTAGCTCGTGATCTAATTATTCTTGAAATGTTCATCCGCACCAGCAGGTGACGACACAAGTCTGGAGAAAGAGCAGAAGAACGCTTTAGGTAAGCATTTTTATTGAACTGTCGTGTTTGGGCTACGACAAATCACCCCTGGTTCCTGGTTCTTGTCAAACAATTGTATTTACAATTAATGAATTGGATTGTAATAAATAATAAATAAACAATCCTTACATTTATATATTGCTTTTCTAGACACTCTCCTCAAAGCTCTTTACAGGTCATGGGGATCCCCTCCACCCCCACCAGTGTGCAGCCCCACCTGGATGATGCACCAGTCCCCTCACACACACCAGCTCTCAGTGGGGAGGAGAGCAGAGTGATGAAGCCAGTTCAGAGATGGGGGTTATTAGGAGGCCATGACTGGTAAAGGCCAGGGGGAAATTTAGCCAGGGCACAGGGGTTACACCCCTACTCTTTTCGAGAAACAACCTGGGATTTTTAATGATCACATATAGTCAGGACCTCGGTCCTACATCTCATCTCAAGGACGGCGCCTTTTTACAGTATAGTGTCCCCGTCACTATGCTGCGGCATTAGGACCCACACAGACAACAGGGTGAGCGCCCCCTACTGGCCCCACTAACACCTCTTCCACCAGCAACCTTGGCTTTCCCAGGAGTCTCCCCTCCAGGTACTGGTCAGGCTCACAGCTGCTGAGCTCCAGTGGGATGCCAGCTAGGAGTTGCAGGGTGATATGGCTAATAGCTAAATTTTATTGGATTGTATTTTGAGCCCTCTGGACAATGCGCTATTTTGCATTAAAAATGAAATACTGGTTCTCTCCATGTACAGTATGCCGCCACAGAGCAGGAAAGAGTATTTTCACGTAGTTGATTCACTTATTTTATTTCCACAGACAACAGCAAAGTACGCGGTGAGGCGCCCGCAGTCTGGGATCTGATTGAGAAAGCCAACAGGAATCTAGGTAAGATATAGGACATGTCACGTGTAGCGTAATTTTACGAGATTCTACAACCGAGTTGCTTTAGCGAGAAGCGAGGAGCCCCCGAAATTAATACATCAAGATCTTGATAACGCCTCGGAACCAGTTTTAAGACGCCCCATTTCGGTATTTTAGTCGCTCTGCAATGGGTGCCTGACAGGCCCCATTGTTGGGTTTGCTGTGCATCTGAAGATCAAAGCAAAGCATAGACTGGTGTTTTTCTGTTCGTTGTGGGGGTATGCGCTATTACACTTTCTCTTTTTCTTCTGCTTTTTATTCAGAACAGATCCCCGGCGGCCCTCTGATCAAGTACGGCGACATCGCCGTGAGCGACGAGCTGGGGAACGCCGACCCCTGCACGTCCCGCGGTTGCCTGTGGCCCAAGTCCGAGTCCGGGGTCGTGACCGTTCCGTTCGTCATCTCCAGAGACTTCTGTAAGAGACCATTTTTGGTGACATCTGCAGAGTGACGATTAGGATTGGAAAGTTTGCGCTGCGCAGCGCTGTTTGCGACTCGCCTGGCGTGTTTAAGATGCACTCGCGTGAATACCCTGGGTTGGCAACGGTACCCATTAACCCGTGAAGTGTTTCTTATCCGCCGCTCCTCTTCCAGGGAGAAAGATATTCGGCACCCGAGGATGTCGGGTGCCGTATCCAATTCAGTATCCCCTGGAAATCTGTATCCCCCCTCCGTAACGAGCACGCACTCCACAAAACTTTCCAGGATGCTTCGTGATATGTAGGCAGCACCTGCGTCCGTGTTCTTGCCTTTGCTTATCGTGATACGAATGAAAAAAAGAAGCCCGATGTCTGCCTTTAAAGGGTTTGCTTGGGATTCATGTAAAAAACAAATACACTGTCACGATGTAAGTGAAAGCTCATGTCGCAAATGTGAGATCGGAATTCTGAGTTACTAAGTCGGAATTCTGAGTTGCTAAGTCGCAATTCTGAGATGCTAAGTCGCAATTCTGAGATACTAAGTCGGAATTCTGAGTTGCTAAGTCGCAATTCTGAGATACTAAGTCGGAATTCTGAGTTGCTAAGTCGCAATTCTGAGATACTAAGTCGCAATTCTGAGTTGCTAAGTCGCAATTCTGAGATACCATAGCGCGTTTTTTTTACTCCATGGCGGAAACGGGCTTCCATAGGGGATGAGGTCTGCTTCAGACCAAATTAATCATAGCAAGTAGAATTCCAAAACCTTTCAGAACAAACAGAATCTGAGCTTCTCGTTCACACATACAGCGCGCCAAGCGACAGCAGCGAGCCGAATGCTGAGAGATTGTGAATATAATTCATTCCCATTCTTTACTTCATGTGTTTGCTTTTGGTAGCGTCCAGAGAGCGGGGGCTCATCGAGAGTGCCCTGGGATCCATCCAGACCTACACCTGCGTCCAGTTCACGCCTCGCAAAAACCAGCGAGACTACATCTCCATCGAGTCTCGCGCTGGGTATTGCAGCCCGTCTTTCTCGGCCTTCGAATCAAAAATGAATACAAAGTCTGCTTCCCCTTGCCCCCACACTGCTTTCACGGCCGTGGTAGCGAGAGGCGCACAGAGCCGAGCAGAGCTCGGCCGGTTTTCGAAGCTCGGCTCTGCACGGCGGTGCCTCTCAAGACTGGTCTCCGCTGCGTGCATCGCTCCTGCCGTCATGTGTACGCATGACGCAAGTAACAGGGCTAATCCTGTGCTGAAAAGACAAGAAAGGAAACACAACGTTTCGGCTGCGGAGCCTTCTTCTCACACCAGAAGCTGAAACGTTGCGTTTCCTTTCTTCTCTTTTCAGCAAGGAATAAACCTTTACTTGTTCCTTTGTAGCCTACGCCTGCTGACGCAGCTCCCTGCTTAAACTACTGCTTTTTGTGAGTTTTGCATGTTGTTACTATTAAGCTAAAGATACACTCCGGGACCAGCGAAGAGCAAAATATACTTTGATGAGCAATTAGAGAGCTTCTGGAAAAGGGTAAGTTTTGCACATCTAGGTTATTACCACTCCTGCTCTGTAATCGTTCTTTTTGTTGTCCAGTTCTTGGCAGGTTATGCGCACAGCACACGTTTAGCTAACAGCTCAGTTCTGAGGCACTCGCTTGCATTTTTATGGGGGTCAGTGGTTAGGACGGCCTCAGGGCCGAGTTACTCACAGATCCTGAGCCTGTCAGGGGTCTGTCTATCCTGCCCACTGCCGCGCGTGAGAGTACCTTCAGGAGCTTGGCACAGTCGTGCTGCGGGGTGGATCAATCCGACACCGGCTGCAAGGACACGCACACCTCCATGACAGGCTGTGTTGCCCTTCCTGCTGCACGTTTCCGCCCGCAGTCTGCCTTGCGTGGCTTGCTCTCGCCTCCGCGCTTCGCCGAGCCCCGAGTCGGAGCCCTCGGCGGCCCCATGCTGTTGTGTCACACACCCCACCTCCGCGTCTTTCAGGTGCTTCTCGTTCGTGGGCCGGCGAGGGGGCAGACAGGTGCTGTCCCTGCAGAGGGGGGGCTGCGTGTACGTGGGGACGGCGCAGCACGAGATCATCCACGCGCTGGGCTTCAACCACGAGCAGACGCGCAGCGACCGCGACGACCACGTCACCATCCTGCTGGAGAACGTCGTCAGAGGTGCGGGGAGCCCTCGGGTCGAAACCGCTCCCCGGGTGAAGAGTGGAGCCGGCAGAAGCTGTTAAACCGCTCTGCTCAAGTTTCGAATTATTTGATTTAGGATGTGACAAGCCCAGCTGGACTGAAAGTCTGGAATCCGTCCCTCCAGGACCAGATTCAGTAACGCCTGATCGTAACGTGGTTTAGCCACAGTTAAAATCACACACCTCCCGAGTCCATTTCTGTCCTTAGCAGTAACTGTGAGCCAACCAGCCCCATTTCTGCTTGATTATTCCATCCAACCTCAGTATAATTAAGGTGCTAGTTGTACTTTAGGAACTGCATTGAAATGCGTTAGAAAGTCCCACGATTTCCTCTGAAATGAAGATGAACTTTGAAATATGGAATCCAGATGTCCACATGCCTAACAATTTCAACCTTCCTTCAAAAGCAGCTTAGAAATATTTAGAAGCCTGCACAATAATTCAAAATGATTTCCTTTTCTAGGTATGGAGCACAATTTCAGAAAGATTAACACCAATAACCTTGGGACTCCGTACGACTACAATTCTGTCATGCACTATGGAAGGTCAGTGATGTAAAGGTCTCCAGTACCTTGCAACACATACATGCCACTTTGCCACCTGGCACAGCACTGCGGAATAGGCCCAAGCCGTGGAAACATGCAAGCATGTCAGCATTGTGCTCTGTATCTGCTGAGCAACGCGCTAGTTAACCAGACATGAAAACTGTGCAGAACTGGGCCCCCTGTACAGCACATCGCCCTTGTGGTTTGCATGCTTATTTTTTAAAGATGAGGCTGGTGATACACAAACAGAACATTTCCGCTTAGTGGACTCTAGATGGAAGTCCATTTAACAGCAAGGCAGGAGACATCAAACTGTAGTGGGAGTCTGGAATAAGCTGCCTGGCCATTTAACAGCCACATGAGATCCTGGGATTGATTCACTGCTAACTACCGAATGGGCTAGATAGATAGGCCCAGTGGCCTGTTCTCACTTGTATCCTTTCTGAGGGTCATATATTTTCACACAAGTGGTGCCAGAGCAGGAAACCTCAAATATTGCAACCATTAGCACTTGTTGTGTTTTTAATATCTCTCAGTACAGATTGATAAAGGTTTGATTGGATAGTTTTAAAGCCTGCCTTTAAAATAGGAACGAGGGGCATTAGTGGTAGACAAGTATGCAATTTAGGAAAGACGATTCAAGTTAAAGTGTCTTGTCGTGTAGTTTTTTTTGCCATATATATGCATGAATTAGTGTTCTACCACCTTCAGTTCTGCCGCATGACAAAGGTGATTGTTGTCTACAGAGGAGATGGTGGGCTGCCCAGGACACCACATTTATGAATCAATCTACTGGTGGCAGTGAATGCAGACTAATGTTCTCTCCTGCAGACACTCTGCAAGTGCTGCTTCTAACTGCTTGAGCTGCACTGCACATCTCCACTCACAGTGCATCGTTTTCCAGGTATGCCTTCTCCAGAAACAGAGAACCCACCATCGTACCCAAACCCGATCCAAATGTGGCCATTGGGCGCGCCACACAGATGGACCGGTTGGATGTTGAGAGGATCAACAGGCTTTATCAATGCTGTAAGTATGTCCCTTTCAACAGAGGACTGTTGCTCCATTCTCGTAGTTTCTTATCACATCTTCCAGCCAGCTTGTGAACCTCCTGCTTTCTTAATCTAGCCTAAGCATTTACAGTAATCAACGGGGCACATGTAGTGTCTCTCTCCAAGTCTTAGGGACTTTTTTACATGTGTAGTGCTATGAATCCCACTTTCCTCTATGAAATAATTAAGTGCAAAACCTTTGAATTAATCCAAAAATATATCGTACCAGCCAAATTATTTGGAATTGCAATTAAGACATTCAGCTGAAACAGAAATAGAGATGCCCTGGTTCTTGGTGCAGAGATGATTGTAGTTCCTGTCTGGAACAGTATTTTAACCCAAGGGACTGATGGGACAGGAGAGTGACATCTGAGCACATATTTTTCCAGAAACAGCACTTCTGCTTTGCTGCAGAAGATTGCTAACTGGAACATCAGCCCTTCTGTTGCCACTTGTATACTCTGGCGAATAAGCACATAACATCTTTTCTAATCTTTGTTTCTGATTGAATTAGCCCGATACTACTGATCCAAGAGGCAAGGACGCGAGCATCATCACAGTCATGACACCTGAGATCTCAATGGAGGATTTTTAATGCAACGCATATATTTCTCTATTGCTACACTGACCAGCTCAAAGAATGCTTTTTCTATTCGTTCTGTAAACTGATGTGATGCAAGATGCATCAGTGTGCATTTTCATTGAGTACGCTTTTGAATACCCTGTTTATACTATGAATGAAAACCTGCATCTATTTTTTAAATAGCTTTACTGTGTCTTAAATTGATCAATGAACTGGAAAAGCTTGCTGATTCAGGCATCAGATGGCATCTGTGTGTAACTCTGTGCATAATCAATAAACTGGTGCGTCTGAGTAACTGAGCTCTCTCTTTGATTATTTTCTCTCAAGCGTGTTGGGGCGTGTCTGTGGAAGCTGTGTGCACTCAGACACAGACGAAGGATTTCTTTATTTTTTGGCGGGTGGGAGAGGGACAGATTGCAGGTGCTGGCTCCCTTGAGTTACTTGATGGGCAGGCATGAGAGTACAGGCTCCTGCCTGGCGCTTGTTGGTGAAATGATCAGGCTTTAAAAGGTTTCTGAGTCGGTGCAAACCGTGAGTGAGTGAAAACAGAACGAATGAAGAGAAGTGTGCAGGGGCGTCGTTTTTACTTCACAGCCCTTCTGATCAAGTAAACATTAACGTCATGAATATTTACACTGTCTTCCCCGGTGCTTACACCTCGCCTGAGCACTGCAGTGGCTTTATTCTCTCCTGTACCCTGTGGGGTACTCTCACAGCTCTCACTGTGTCTCCCTGCTCTGCACTCTGCTGCGAGCACAACCCACCACAGTGCGGCTCGGAGAGACTTTCCTCGCCAGTCATCTGAGCTGTTCTGCAGTCCAGCTGTTTCCTTCACTGGAAAGGACATTCCCCTGTGACAGATCAGCCCCACACAGCGCCCGCAAATTACTCAGGAAGTCACCATCGTCTTGACAGTGCTGGTAATTGGTTTGTTCCAGGCAGTCACTTGAAACGGTTGTAGATGGGGTAAGTCTTGAGCTCTCTGCCTCCTGGCTGGTTGACAAGTGCTGGATTGCTTGACAGTTTACGCCCAGCCTCCTCTTTTCTGCACGATAATCTGATAATTGCCGCGGCGCCTCCGCCATTGTGCCTCTTTATTTTCTTCCTCTGTCACGCAGTGGTCCCCCTTAACCATAAACCCACCCAGCCCCAGGAGCATATTTCCGGTATGTCAGAGCTGCCACAGTAGAAAACCTCTGTGGATTCAAATAATAATAATAATTGCTTATACTTATATAGCACTTTTCTGGACACTCCACTCAAAGCGCTTTACAGGTAATGGGGATCCCCTCCACCCCCACCAGTGTGCAGCCCCACCTGGATGATGTGACGGCAGCCATAGTGCGCCAGAACGCTCCCCACACATCTGCTCTCAGTGGGGAGGAGAGCAGAGTGATTTAGCCAGTTCATAGAGGGGGATTATTAGGAGGCCATGATTTGGTAAAGGCCAGGGGGGAAATTTGGCCAGGACGCCAGGGTTACACCCCTACTCTTTTCGAGAAGCGCCCTGGGATTTTTAATGACCACAGAGAGTCAGGACCTCGGATTTACGTCTCATCCGAAGGACAGCACCTATTTACAGTATAGTGTCTCCATCACTATACTGGGGCATTAGGACCCACAGGGCGAGCGCCCCCTGCTGGCCCCACTAATACCTCTTCCAGCAGCAGCCTCAGCTTTCCCAGGAGGTCTCCCATCTAGATACTGTCCAGACTCACACCTGCTGAGCTCCAGTGGGCTGCCAGCTGGGAGCTGCAGGGTGATAATACTGCCTGCCGTGAGCACAGCCGCTGCCCAGAAAGAGCAGGGGATGGGGAGCAATGGGAGAGGTCTGAGTGCCGACACAGAACAGGAATAATACTCAACGGCAGAATTGAGTTTTACGGATAAGCTCGTTTTATTTAGGATTTTCACATTTGGATGCACTAGTTTTGCTGGTGGATCAATGCTGGAGATGTGACAGCCCGTTTTGGTGTGATGTACGAGTTAGAGCTCTCTGAAAGCCCTTATCTGTGACCTTCTCAACCTTTACTGCCTGTCTGTGATGACAAATCTCACCAGCGGAGAGGAAATACTGCCCATCCTGGCCTTTTGGTATTGCTGCCATACAGGAATGGAGAAACCCTCTAGTGTACCAGACACACTGGAAAAAAACAGCTCGACAATTAGAGGCCCTGTCAAAATTAATATTGCTCTTGAAGGGGTTGTGCTGATGTTTTCATAAAAGGTGACCTACGTTCAAGCCTGCCAACGGGCTGTGACAATTTAACGGTGCAGAAAGAAAAATCGCCAGTAGATGCTGAAGCTGTGTTGAGAGAAAGGATACACACAGAATGAATTCCTTGGAACAAAAAAAAAAACTCTCAAAGTGAAATTAATAAAACGCTACGAGCTTCTCACACACGAGTCCCCACTGATTTCTCTTCACCCATCAGGATTGGACTTCCCGTTGCCATGGCAATGCATTCTGTTGCCATGGAACTCAAGATAGCGGAGAGCTGTGACCTCTGACACCTCAAAACAATTCTGAGAACTCCATGCTATCTGGGGTGGACAACGGTATTCACCACAGGTCTTATAAATATACATATTTTCAGTTATTATACTGTGCATTATTAGCCTATAGGACTGCATGGGTCAAAAGTTGCTAAATAATGACACACTTAGCGTGCACTGAGAATATATGCAAAAGAATGAAATAGCTCCGGTCAGAGTAAAAGGCGATCAATCCAATCAGTTTGAATTTTACAGATATCCACCGTGGCAAGAGCACCACTGAAAAGTGAAATTGCAATAGTATATATTTGCATGATATATGTAGAATAATGTACTCAACATTAGAAGAGAAGATACAATAAGCTTATATTGGGATAAGGTGGCTCAGGTGCTTTCATTGAAAGGCAGTGTTTAATTCCAATGCCCCATTGAGGAAGGAATGTAACCTGCCCTTGATTAACCTGCTGGGACCTGAACGGACTGTATAACTGTATGTGAGTGCACCCTATTGCGGATTTTCCTCACACATACACTTATCCTGCAGCATTCTGCTGCTTCTGCTCTACGGGCCTGACATGAGCCCCTTTGTAAGAGGATCTGATGTCTTCATGTTGCCTTGCCCTTTGTTAAAGAGTTCCTCAGGTGGGTTAGCTCAGACAATGACCTGCCCTGCCAGCCCCCAGGAGAGAACTAACAGGCTGCAATTCTGATGGCACACTCGTGGAATCGATAGAAAGCGAAAGGCAGGAGTGGAAGAGGAAAGGGCATGACTTTTACAGCTCTTACTGGAGAAGCAGTGTCCAGCAGGGCCCAGTGAGGACTCTTATTTAAGAGGGATAATACTACTTTCCAAAGAAGGGCGCTTCTGAAGGAAAACACAGAGAGGGTGTGAGTGTGGCAGTACTGCCTCTTGCAGTCAGAACTTGTGAGGTGGATTCTGATACTCCAAGCAAGTCCAAGGGGATTAGAGAAAACTGCCAGGCTTCAGAGGAGAGTCTGCAGGATGTTATCTTTGTGCTGAGATCCCACGGAAGGTAATTGTGAATAATTGCCTCCTAACGGCAGACCTGGTGTCGAGACGGGAGGATACCTCTCCATTTCTGTCTGTTCGTCTTTGCTCCTGGCAGGCTTGCCTGCCGAAGCTCTCTCTCTCTCAGTGACAGATCAGGTGCTGTTTCTCGGCTCGTGGCCCATCGGCGGCACCTCAGCCGCCAGGAGAAATGGATTTCAAGCAATAAGGCGGCTCGATATATTGCCGGGGGAGGAGAGCCATCCCGAGCTCCTTCAGCGCCTGATTTACGACGCAATTATTCATCTCAAATTGCTCGGAACACTGCCGCCCGCTTCAACACCAGCGGTGTGATAAATGAAAAACAAAGGCAAGCAAAACACATAAGCAAAACAAAACAAAAACACTGTGTAGCAGTTCTTTTCTGAGTGCTTGTGTGAACAATACTCCTGGCACATGTTTTTCTAAGATCAGGTGTCAGTCCCAGTTATCTACGAGTTTCCCACTGCTACGATTATCTCTTTTCTTAACTGTGCTGAATGAGCTTCAGATTCATCACCCTTCAGTAGTACAGGTGTACAGGATTACAGGAGAATTGGCTAACAGGAGGACAGGAGTACAGCAGTACAGGAATACAGGAGTACAGTTCATAAATAATTACTAAGAAAATAAAGACACACTTAGCGTGCACTGAGAATATATTCAAAAGAATGAAATAGCAGCGGTCAGAGTAAAAAGCGATCAATCCCATCAGTTTGAATTTTACAGATATCCACCGTGTTAAGAGCACCACTGAAAAGTGAAATTGCATTGCAATAGTGTATATTTATATGATATGTTTGTAAAATAATGTACTCAACAATGGTAAAAAAAATAAGTGAGAAGATGCAATAAGCTTATATTGGGATAAGGTGGCTCAGGTGCTTTCATTGAAAGGCAGTGTTTAATTCCAATGCCCCAGTGAGGAAGGAATGTAACCTGCCCTTGATTAACCTGCTGGGACCCGAACGGACTGTATAACTGCATGGGAGTGCAGGAGAACAGCAGTACAGGTGAACAGGTGAACAGGTATGCAGGTGTTCAAGGGTACAGGTGTACATAGTCAACAGGTGTGTGGGTGTACAGGTGAACAAGTGTACAGGAGTGCAGGTGTACAGTGAACAGGTGTGTAGGAGTGTAGGTGTGCAGCAGTAGAAGTGAACAGGTACACAGGTTTGTACAGTAGGTGTTAAGGTGTGTATAGGTGTAAAGGTGAACAGGTGCACAGGTCGGCGTACTAATCATGCAGAGGGGTGAGGTGCTCACAGGAGAGAGGGAGAGGCATCAGCTAGACAGACTTGTGGATAAAGAGGAAGAGAGGAAACGTCTTCCCCATTAGCGTGAAGAAGAGGAGGGAAGCCTGGTTAAAAGTGACAGGGGCAGGCCAATGATGAAGTTGCACGGTAGATAGAAGGCACTCCTGTGGTTTTACAACTGTACCACATCGAGGACCATTAAAGCTTCATTAGGGACATGACTTGATTCTATGATTGTTTTCTTGAAACAATTAGAAGGCGGAAGGCAAACTAACCGAATACTCATTCTATTTTCTTTTTTTTTTTCCTTTTAAACTCTGTTGTTCCCGTGTATAGCCCACGACCCCACAAGGGGAATTTCTCATCAGCACCATCTGTTTCATGAGCACGAGCATCAATAATTGAAATTCGCTCACCAACATCTGAAGGGCGAGTGTAATGAGGTGCTGGTGCCAGATGACTCTTTGAGGTTCTCTCTTATTACCAGTTATTTCA